GGTGACGGAGGCAAGGTTGCAGGGGGAGCGGCAGGCAGCGGCCGTGACCTCAGCCAGTGCTGACGCGCCAGAAGGAGGGGCCGGGGTCAGCCCGCGTCCACTTGGACTCAGTGCCCGGCAGGGCCAGCCCACCCGAGGTCCCGAGCGCCCATAGAGGAGCTCCAGGGCGTGGCGGCCGGCCCCGGGCCTGGTGTGTGTGTGGCTGGCACAGGGGAGCTCGGCCTTAGGGGGCACCACGGGGTCATTTAGGCCGCTCTGCCCTCCAGCAGAGGGCCCCTGATGACCACCATTTCCGGTGGCACAGCAGGGAAAGGTGGACTGGAGGGGCGGGGCTCAGGGCGCTCAGCTCCCACCCCGACCCAGCGGTTGGGTTTTCTTCTCCCCCTTTGTCTTTTTTGGGGGAAGGCTTTCCCCTTGACCTCTAGCCTTCTGGTGGAATTTTTCATTTCATTTATTATAGTTTTAACCTTATTGTTTGGAAATAATTCAAGACTTATCTGGCTTTAAACATTTTGCAACACTTAATCATTCTCTTTGTCTCTGTTTCTGAGCCATAAGGGAGTAGGCTGCAGGCAGGACGCCCTTAGCAGTTCAGTTCTCCCTAACAAGGCATTGTGCCATCTAAATAACCGCACAGGCATCAAAGTCAGGCAGGTCGACGTCAGTCCAGCAGGGCTCCCTCTGCAGCCTGTGCTTCAGTGACAGCCTTATCCCTGCAATGTAGCCTTTTCTCCAGAATCATGTGTTCTCTGGACTGTTTATGGCATTAACTGTAGGTGATGAGACTTTCTTGGAAAGCAGACCAGCGCACACATGTGGGGCTGAGAAATGAGGCACATACCATGGGCACCAGGACAGATCATGACAGTGACCAGGCTCAGGACCTTTGTCACCCTTTTCCAGTGAATGGTTCATGTCTGTCTTGTCCCAGAAGTCAGAGACAGGGCTGATTCCCTCGTGAATCCTCAGCCGGTTTCTGGCACACAGCAGGTGCTTGCTAAGTGCCAGTCGGTCTGAGATGGGAATCTGGCTCTTGTGGGTGAGCTGAGCCTCTGCAGATGGAGGAGGCACTCTGTGTCTGGCCATATCTGTGTCTGTGTGAGCATGCCTGTGTGTGTGCTCATGTGTGCAGATGCACAGGGGGCTGCACTGCCCGAGCACAGCTTCGAGCTCGTGGCTGTGCACAGTGGGTGTAGACACACCTGTGCTGTGCACTTCTGTGTCTGTGACACCCGATGGGGAGGAACAACCATGTTCCTCTGGCTGGGGATCTGGTCCTCACTCATGCCTCATGCAGCCAGGGGCTTATGCTTACTACCCCTGTGAATGCCCCCTCCCACCCCGTAACGTATGCAGGTCCTAGGGTTGCATTGAAGGATCACCCGGTGACATGGGTGGCTGGGCTTGCTGAGACACCCGCAGTCCTTCCCTTGTGCTCCCTCCGGAGACTTTTAGCCTTGCTGGGGCCTCAGGTTTTCTAGCAGAACCCAGGGGCCTCTGGTCTCCCCTACCCATTTCTTGACCTCTGCAGGTGCTCTTCCTTGTGGTTTTACGGGAGACTGCAAAGCTTTTGCTTGAAGGGGGGGCAGTAACAGATCCTCGAGTAGCTTCTGTGAGCAATGCTGGGATGGAGACCAGGGCCCTGGGCTTGACCACTGAACTACGCCCTGCAAAGAGCTCTTTCCTTGAGCCGCCCTGCCAGGGGGTGTGGGGTGGAGGGGAGGATGTGCACACTGCACGGTGGGTGTGCAGCTTGGGAGTCTTGGGAGCCCCCTCCCCATACTCTTCATTCCAACACAGACCCCCTGCCGAGCAAACCTGTCACTCTAAACCAGGCCTTCAGGCCTCAGTAAACCTACCCGGGCCAGAGTCAGAGAAGCCCGGCCCGTGCTGGCCCTGAAAGTAGAACTGCGGGCGCAGAGAGCTCAGCCATGAAAAAAACATGAGGCCACAAGCAGGCGGCTGCTTCAGGAGCAGCCCTGGAGCCAGCCCTGGGCGCCTGCCAAGCCAGACCCCGGCTGGGAAGAGGTGACAGGACCCAGGGGTGAAGAAGTCAGAGCCTGGGGACAGAAGGCCAAGGGGATGGCAAAGGTCCAGCAGGGGCTGACCACGGGACAGGGCAGAGAGGCCGACCAGAGCAGCGGAGCTGGGGCCTGGGAAGTGGGTGGGGAGCTGGGCCCTCCCTGGTCTCTGCAGGGAGGGCACTGGGGCTGTGAAAGGCCACCCTCAGCAAAAAGGCTCCTGGCCGCACTTCCCAGCTTCCAGGGCTCCAGGCCAGCGGAGGAGGGCACCGCCCCTTCCCAGCACACACAGGCCCATGCCAGCTCACACCAACAGCATCAGCGTTGCCCGGGCACCCAGCCTGGTGCACGTGCTGGTCGCCATGGCTTCAGGCAGCCTGCTGGCAGGTGCCCAGGCTGGGCTCTGGTTGTGTAGGCTGGCAGTCCAAATGAGGTGGTGAGTGTCTGTCCTCCACTGGTCCCAGGGAGGGGAGGAGAAGGGAGACCCTAGAGTGACAGGGCAGCTCACCTCCCAGCATCCTGGGTGGGCACCAGAGGCCTGGGGGCAGCAATGCTCTCTGCTCCTAGCCCAGCTGGACCCTCACTGAGGGGCAGGGCTGAGGCTCAGGCCTGGCCTTGTCTGCCAGGGGATCCGACAGCTGAAGCGGTCCCTACCTTCTGGCCCAGTGCAGTCAGGAGGGTCCATTGACCACATCCACCCACCACCAGCTGCTCACTGTAGTAGGGGGTTGGGGTGCCACCCACCCAAATGACCTCCTAGCACCCATCAGGGAGACGTGCCCCTCCCTCAAGACAGACATTTAAGATGGGACATCAGGTGGCCTGACCTTCTGTGTCCAGGCTTAGTGCACCAGCCACATGTGGCCACACACTTGGGCCACTGTCTTCCTTCTGGGCTTAGAGGTAGGTGGTGCAGGTGAACGGGGTTCCCAAATGCCAGTAAATTTGGACATCTCCAGAGCCCAGCCAGGACAGGCCTCAGGGCAGACACATTTGTGTGCTCCTGGTGGGGGTGCTATGAAGGGAAGCCGGAGGACCCAGGCCAGGCCTGCTGTGGGCTCCTGAGTGCAGGGTACATCTGGGCTGTGACTGGCACCCTATACAGAGGTGCCCTTGAGGGCTGGGGTTGTGGCTCAGCATAGATCACTCGCTTTGCACGTGCGAGGCCCTGGGTTCAATGCTCAGCACCACATAAGAAATAAAATAAAATAAAATAAAATAAAGGTATTGTGCCCATCTACAACTATAAAAATATATATATATTTTTTAAAAAAAGAGGTTCCCTTGAGCAGTGCACAATCTGATCACCCTGAGCAGCACTGAGGGGGTTCTAAGGCTGGGGTCCACAGTAGCATCTCCAGGGGCTGAACCGGATTAGCAGGTGACAGCTAGGCCCAGCCCCCACCTCAGGGCATCTGGACACACAGAGACATGCATGTCCAATGCTGCATCTTTCTGCAGAGGCTCATCCCACTGCACAAAAAACAGACCCCCATGTTGAACAGTCTCAGGCACACTACTGCGTGTGAGCACTACTGTGTGCCCGAAACCTTGCTGGGACCCAGAAGGAAGCTCTCCCCTATCCGGGAGCTGACCCTCCCTTGGGGCTGTGTGAAGGCTGGTGTGGAGGACCTGGCAAACTGCCTCCCTCTAAGGAAGTGCCCCTCCCCTGGGACCCAGCGGTCCCCTTGGCTAGCACACCTGGATCTGTGCCAATAGCCCCACCCCTTCTGAAGCTGTGGGCCACATAGGAGGAGCTACTGCCGCTTCTGGCCCTGCCATCCAGAGGCTGCCCAGAGCCAAGCTGCTTAGTGCCTGGCCACCGGGCTTCCTCCCCCGGTGCTCGAGGGCCTGCCAGCACCTGTCAGTGCCAATGAGGCCTTCCTGTCCATCAGAAGGACGTGGCATCCCAGTTCCCTTTGCACCTGGCTGAGGCCAGGGACTGCGGAGGAGCAGCCAGTGTCCACACCTGGAGGACACAGTGGACATGGCTTCCCCACGCCACACACACACAGACCAAGCTGTACCCTTGGGACCTGAGGGGAGGCTGGGGTGTGGGCATCGTTGGGGGATGCCTGGCCACACAGCCAGGGCCTCGAGATACCTGTGGCCCACGGGGTGGCCAAGTTGGCCTGCAGGGAGGGTGCAGTCAGCCAGGATTTGCACTTGACAGTCCCTCCGTGAACCGCCCCTGACGCCCTAACAGTGGACTGCTGTGCCTGGCTGCCCTGTGTGGAGCCACAATGGCCACTCAAGGGATGGAGGGCCAGGAGGACAGTGGAGGGACTGGGCACCGATGCTGGAAGTCCTCAACACCCTGTTCCTGGTCCCCAGGGAGACCTGAGGGTCACACGCTGTCATAAGGAAGAGGACACCAGGTCTGGACCCAGCCCAGGGTGGGCAGCTCTGGTTTCCTTCCTTGGCACCTGGCCCTTGAGGCAGGTGCAGGAGACAGGCATGGCTGAGCAGGGCCAGCCCATGGGTCCCCCGCTGGCCAGACACCAAGGGAACAGTCTCTAAAGACCCGTCAGGCCAGTCACCCTGGTGATTCAAGTGGCAGTTATAGGGTCCCCAAGGCCACCCTGCAGGTCTGTTGGAGGCCACATGAGGAGGGAGGGGAGCAGCCTCATGGCTCCAAGACTTGCCTGGGGCACTTGGAAGCCACACAGGCCGGGGCCGCTGACCACAGGACAAGGGAGCTCCTGCTCAAACATTCCTCCCTAAGGGTGACTGGCCTCCCCTGGTGCGGGCTGCTCTTCCCGAGCCAGGCCTTCCACGGGGGCCAGTGCGCCTGTGCTGGCCCTGCCACTGGCACTAACACCCCTCCTGCCACTTCCAGGCCACCCAAAGGGAGAGCCGGGCCCCAGGACTGCAGGCTGGGGTGCGAGCAGGGCAGCCCAGGACGCGCTGCAGGCTACTGGGTGGGGAGCCTGCCTGGGGGGGCTCTGGGCTCCTGGCAGCAAGAGTCAGAGGAGCAGTAACTGGATCCTGCCGCGGATCTGGTGGCCCTGCGGCGGGGGCTGTGATCGGGTTGCGCCTGTGCCGTGGGCTTCCACTGGTGCCTTTTCTGCTTTGGGAAGGAGCTGCGCGGCTGGGAGCGCTCGCTGTGAGTCCAAGGGGCCTTTTGGTGGCAGCAGGAAGGTGAGAGGCCAAGAGGTACGGGCATAGGGCCCTGGACTTGGGCCCTAGCAGCCGTGGGAGAAGATAAGGTTGGGGAGCCTGTGTCCAGTCCTGCCGGGCACCCTGCTCCAGCCCCCGTGTCAGCCAGGAAACACCGCAGTCCAAGCTGGGGTAATGAACCGCCACTAAGCCGGCACGTTCCTGATCCGTCCTCCCCACCCGCCCTCTGCTGCCCACTGGCCACGTAAGAGCTGCCTGGGTGGCCGAGCCACTGGTCAGACAGTGCTGCAGCAGGTAGTGGGGTCCATGACGACAGCAGGCCCTGGGGGCCGAAGGCCAGTGGAGCAGAGCTGGGCCTCTGGGAGGCCCCAGGACCCGTGAGCACTCAGAGAGAGCTTCCCCAGCCTGCGAGGCCTGGCCAGCCTGGAAGATGCCCACCAACGGCCTGCACCAGGTGCTCAAGATCCAGTTTGGCCTGGTCAATGATACTGACCGCTACCTGACAGCGGAGAGCTTTGGCTTCAAGGTCAATGCCTCGGCACCCAGCCTCAAGAGGAAGCAGATGTGGGTGCTGGAGCCCGACCCAGGGCAGGGCACGGCCGTGCTGTTCCGCAGCAGCCACCTGGGCCGCTACCTGTCAGCAGAAGAGGACGGGCGCGTGGGCTGTGGAGCAGAGCGGCCGGGCCCTGACTGCCGCTTCCTGGTGTTGCCCCAGCCGGATGGGCGCTGGGTGCTCCAGTCAGAGCCACACGGCCGCTTCTTCGGAGGCACTGAGGACCAGCTATCCTGCTTTGCCACGACCATCTCCACGGCTGAGCTGTGGACTGTGCACCTGGCCATCCACCCACAGGCCCACCTGCTGAGCGTGAGCCGTAGGCGCTATGTGCACCTGTGCCGGCAGGAGGACGAGATGGCAGCGGACGGAGACATGCCCTGGGGGGTGGAGGCGCTGCTCACCCTCATCTTCCAGAGCCGGCGGTACTGCCTCAAGTCCAGCGACAGCCGCTACCTGCGCAGCGACGGCCGCCTGGTCAGGGAGCCCGAGGCCCATGCCTGCTACACACTGGAGTTCAAGGCGGGCAAGCTGGCCTTCAAGGACTGTGATGGCCGCTACCTGGCACCCACGGGGCCTGCTGGCACGCTGAAGGCTGGACGCAACACGCGGCCCAGCAAGGATGAGCTCTTTGACCTGGAGGAGAGTCACCCGCAGGTGGTGCTGGTGGCCGCCAACCACCGCTACGTCTCTGTGCGGCAAGGTAGGCACAGCGGCTGGCCGCCCAGTGCGTGTCTGCTGGGCTCCTGTGTGTCTGGTGGACACTGGCATACGGCGGGGCAGTGGGCCTAGGGCTAACAAGCAGCCCTTTATCCCGGCCAGCCGGAGACTGTCTTAGCTGTCGGGCAGCTGCTGACTCCAAGATTAGAGAGGTGTGGGCAGGGGGTGGGCCGTGCCCCTCTGGGTGGGGGTGGGCCGTGCCCAGCCTGGGGCTGTGAGGATGGGTGGACAGGAGGCCACGGAGGCCCTGCCACTCCCCTTCTGCCCATCATCCCACTGTCTGAACTTTGAAGGAAACTGGGGAGGGGCCAGGGCAGGGCAAGAAGACGGCACAGTGAAGAGGGGTCGGCACCTCCGCAGGCCTGGCCAGGGGGAGCCTCGGCAGCCCCAGGAATGGGGTTCTGGTCACCTTCAGTGCTAGTGGGTACTGGGGCACACTGCCGTGGCCCAGGCCTGGCTCCTTGGTGGGACAGCCCATCTCTGCTCCAGTGGCTCTCCCCATTTCCCAGCCACTGGTCACCTATCTCATGTGACACCCCCTAGCAGCCTGTGGGGCGAACACAGCAGTCCCCACTTCCTGCGAGGAAGCTAAGGGTCTCGGAATGGTACCATGCTGCTGAGAGCAAGGCCCTGGCCCGGGCCAGCCATCGCCGTTGCTCCAACGTGGGCTCCTGCTCCACGCACCCCCGAGTGGCCGGGCATGCCCAGATCCGCGGCTCTGAGGTCAGGACAAGAGGTGAGATGGGGAGAGCTGCTTCTACCCACTCAGGTCCTTCCAGGCCAGCACTCCCCAGGCAAGGGCAGCTACCATGTGCCCATCGAGTCCCTACCCTGTGGATGTCAGCCTCCCTGGGCACCTGCCTTACCTTAGGGCTTTGGGCACTGGCTGCCTGGCCCAGATGGCAGAAGTAAGCCATGCCCAGGGGGCCTGGGGCTGCACTCAGAGCCCTCAGGCCAGTGAGAACATCAACGGTCGTTAGAGGCGCCTGGTCCTGGCATGTGGCCGGGTGGACACACAGTGATGGTCCTTCCTTCCTGCCTGCCCTTCATGAAGGCCCAGATGCTTGCAGGCCTTAATCAGCAATGTGAGTTACCTGGGAGCCGGGTGGAGGGGGCGTCCCGTGGAGCCAGCGGAGGTGCTGGGCACCAAGTGCTTGTGAGTGACACTTGTGAAAGAGGCTCATGGGGGTGACGACACTGGTGCTGATATTGATAGCACGGTATGGGGGTGGCAGTGATGTTAGTGACAGTGTGGTGGTGGAGGTGAGTTCGGTGGAGGAGATATGGAAGCTTGGTGAATGTGGAGGTGATGGTAGAGAGATAGTAGAGGTGGAGGTGTTGATGGTGATGATCATATGGAGGGATGGTGGAGGTGGAGTTGGTGGTGGTGGAGGTGCAGATGAAATTGTGATGCTGGAGGGACGGTGGAGGTGATGGTGATGGTGGAGGAGGTTTAGTGATGGTGGCCACGTGGGTCGTGTTAGTCTCTTCACCACCTGGATCTGACTGCCGTTTGAGGGGATCCCCTACCAAGGGCCACCACCTGCTTCCCTCGCACCTTGGGAATGGGAGGTAGGTACCTTGCAGTAAGGCTGAGGCTACCTGGCCTGGCCCGCAGAGGCGTCAGATGGACTTGGGCAGCCGGTGGTGGGAGGAAGCAGGCTGCGGGGAAGGAGAGGCCTGGGGAGCGGGTGCCTCGACTTCCAGGCAGGGCAGCAGTGAGCTCTGCCCCATCTCCTGTCGGTTATGTCCTGGAGTGGCGGCAGAGCAGGGCCATGGCCAGGCAGAACCCTGGGCTGTCTCCTCGCCCTGGAGGGGTGTGAGAGCACCCAGTGTGCTCTTCTCTCTTCTGATGATCTCCCTTCCCTCCTCCATCAGCCTGCCAGCCAGTCTGTCTGCCCTCTCTGGTATGGCAGTGCTGGTGGGTAGCACGGCAGGAAGACCAGACTGTCTGGTGTCAGAAAGACATGATTGTCACGTATAAGTGGAGTCCAGAGGCCTCAGGGAAGGTGCGATTCCTGGAAGGGCACCATGGTCAGTTCTGTGGTACCACCGAGGGCCTTTGTTCTTACCTCCTTGTCGAACCACTCTCCTGACTCAATGCTGACTTTATGTTCACAAAATAGCTGCTGCAACTCCAGGCCTCACATCCAGACAAGACAAAATCCAGAGAAAAAAGCATCACTGGCCCTTCTTGTTTTCTTAGGAGTAAAATATCTCCCCTAAATCCTAGCAGATACCCCATTTACATTCATTGGTCAGGACTGAACACTGCTTGGCTCAACCAATCCCCCAGAGTAGGGTAAGACCAACATCACCATACCAACTTGAACTCTGTGTCCCTCCCACTGTGAGGTCAGCTTCCGAGAAGCAGGTGACTGTGTGTCCAGAAAGATGTCGGACAGCATCCTGCCTAAGTATGGTGTGTGGAGTGACGTGGGAGGACACACCGGTATTCTTGGCCTGGGAGACAGCCGCAGTGGGCCACTCGACCTGCCTAGCCAGTCCTTTGACCTGGCTTCTTTCTCAGTCCCCACAGGGAGGCCAGTTGTCGCCGTCTCCCACAGTGGCTCATACCCCTCACTAGATATCCTCGTCCTCTGCTCACCAGGCCCAGGCATACGAGGACAAGGGCCATGTTTGGCTCACAGCCAGTCGGGACAGAGGTGCTGCCCATTCAGTTCAGTATTTGTGGCTGGGATGAGGGAGCTGGTGGTGGTGGGGACAGTGGCAAAGATGCTAGGCCCCTTCCAATTGCTTCTCTGCACCAGAGCTGTGACCTGAGTGTGAGTCGCACCTGGCCTAGGGGTGGCCTTTGGACACCAGTGAAGGAGCAGACCCGGGCTCTCCCCTAGGGGTTGCTGCTTGATGCCCTTCCTCCCAGGGGCCGGACTGGGTAGGGCTCTGTCCACTACTCCTCCCCTTCCCCAGCTGCCCACACTGGAACCCCTGGGCCTCATGGGGTCTGCAGCCTGTCATACCACTGAGTGCCCAGTCGCCATGGGAACTGGGATGCAGTATTCGGGAGGGAGCTGGAGGTGCCATGGGTGGGCAGATCCCAGGGAGGCTCCAGGCCTGGGGCTGTTGCCAGCCCAGAGAGAGTGCCCCCTTCGGCCCTCTTCTGGGAACCCCAGCAGAGCCCTGGGCAGCCTTGACCTCTAGGGCTCCTGGGAGACCAAGCATATGTGCGTATGGGGGTCTTCCTGGTCCCTAGGCATTGGAAGTGACCTGGGTCCATACATGGGGTAGGGCAAAAACCCTGCTGTGCCCACCTGGCAGCTTAGAAATGAGCTATAAATAGAAGCTGGTGTAAGTCCTGGGTCAAGAGAGCGGGAGCAAGCAGATTACCCGCTGATTAGCGGAGTGGGAGATTTGCCGGCACGGAAGGAGCTCTCTTCCTGGGGAAGAGCTAGGGGCCCTGTGTGGGAGCAGCCCGGGCCTCATGGTCCTGGCAGGCGCTTTCCAGATCTTCCCAAATCCAGAGGTTCTAGATGAGACTCTCTGGCTTTGGGGGTGCCCCAGCATGCCTCTTCAACCCCTGCCCCCCAGGAGAGTTGTGAGGGACTTCCCCATCTCCTCCCTCTAGGGGTCAACGTCTCAGCCAATCAGGATGAAGAGCTAGACCACGAGACCTTCTTGATGCAAATTGATCAGGACACAAAGAAGTGTACCTTCTATTCCAGCACTGGAGGTTACTGGACCTTGGTCACCCATGGGGGCATTCAGGCCACAGCCACACAAGTGTGAGTGTCCCCTATCCCCATCACACCGTCACCTCCACTAAGGTCACCACCATCGCTGCCACCACAGTCAGCTCCCCACACTGCACCAACCATCATTGCTACCTCAACCCTGCGGCCCACTGCTGGAGCCCAGTCAGGGAAGAACGCCTTCTGGATGGGGCAGCTCTTCATGGTGGTGTCAGTGGAGGGCCCTGGAACCCGAGGAAGAAGGGGAGGCCTGCACCCCCATTGCTTGCCACTGAGGGGACCTTGCCCTGTTCCCTTCAGTTCTGCCAGCACCATGTTTGAGGTGGAGTGGCGTGGCCGGCGGGTGGCACTCAAAGCCAGCAATGGGCGCTATGTGTGCATGAAGAAGAACGGGCAGTTGGCAGCCGTCAGTGACTTTGTGGGTGAGCATTCCTGCCCCCTAGGTGCTGGGGGCAGGCTCTCCACCCAGGCCGGTGCCTGCACACAGGCCCTCTCCCCTCTCAGGGGAGCTGCTGCTGCCAGGGCAAGTCATCCTAATCTGGGTAATCCACCAGGGGACAGTTAGCTCCCAGAGGGTCTGGTTTTCTCCATCGCACCTTTGGGAACCCTGGGAACCTCCTCGACTCCTTGCACAATTGGAGACTCCTAGATTCCACGGCATTAGGCATCTTGCCAAGGCTGCGCACCAGGCAATGGCAGATCTGGGCAGGACTGTGCCTGGACAGGGAAGGGGCTGGGAGGGCGGCTCCACAGCGCCCTCTCCTGCAGGCGAGGACGAGGAGTTCATCCTCAAGCTCATCAACCGGCCCATCCTGGTGCTGCGCGGCCTGGACGGCTTCGTCTGCCACCGCCGAGGCTCCAACCAGTTGGACACCAACCGCTCTGTCTACGACGTCTTCCACCTGAGCTTCAGCGACGGCGCCTATCAGATCCGAGGTGCGCAGGAGTGAGTGGGGCACACACCGGGGTCGCGGGCGCACAGGCACGGGGGGGGGCGCGTGGGGGGTGGACCACGCCGACGCCCCGTCCCCGCCCCAGGCCGCGGCGGCGGGTTCTGGTACACCGGCAGCCACGGCAGCGTGTGCAGCGACGGCGAGAGCGCCGAGGACTTTCTCTTCGAGTTTCGCGAGCGCGGCCGCCTGGCCATTCGTGCGCGCAGCGGCAAGTACCTGCGCGGCGGCGCCTCGGGGCTGCTCCGCGCAGACGCCGACGCGCCCTCCGCGGTCGCGCTCTGGGAGTACTGAGGACCAGCGGGCGCGTGTTCTAAGCCGCCTGTCTGACAACTGCTGTGAGCTCCGGGTGCCCCCCGGGGGGTCAGAAGGGTTTCGGGGGCAGGGTCGCTGGCCCACGTTGCTGAGCACTGGCACTTTTGTCCCTGGCCCGCTGCAGTCCCTCCCTGCATCCTCTGTCCAGGGACAACTTCCTGCAGTGGGCCACTCACCCTTCTCTCCCCCATCCATCTCAGGGAAAGGGCCATGGCTGGGAATCCAGAGGAGAGAGCCCCATGACCTGGACAGCTACCACCCTGGGCCTCCTCTGGTTTCCGCACCTGCCCCAGGTGTCACCATGTCTAGGCACACAGATCCTCCTTCAGGAGACACACCCCAAACCCCTGCAGCTGACCTAGGCAGTCCCTGCCCTTCTCTGGGGCCTGGAGTGTCCTCCAATGAGTCCATTGCCCAAGGACAGGTGATGCCCAATGAGGGGTAGGAGTCTGGGCTGAGGAGAGCGTCCCCTGGGAGCGGGGGCACAGGCCAAAGAGGAAGGAACCAAGCAGAGTCCTAGGGGAGGAGTCGAGGACTGGGATCTGCCCAGTTCCAGGAACAAGGGTCTGCCCCTGTTCAGGTCCAGAGGGACTATCCCTGGGGCGAGTGTTGGGCAGATCAGTTAACCCTTGCAGGGCCAGACATGGGGAAGCTGAGTGGCCAGGAGGGCAGGTAGACTCAACGTGCCCCATGGTCTGTGGTGTCCCCCACTGTCAGCCAGCCTGGAACCATGTGGCTTTGGTCCCAGTGTCCTTTCCACATAACTAAACAGCACTGATGCCTCAGGTAACTCCTCCTGAAGAACACCCCTGCAGGGCAGCCTGGCTGGGAGGTGGCCTCAGCCTGCACAGCGGTGCGGGGCATTGCCCTGGCTCTACAAGGATGGCACACCAAGCCCCCTTGGCCTGGCGTCTCATTCTGGGTCTGTGTGTTATGCCCAGCTGAGGCGGCCAAGGCTGGACGGCATCACTGCTCTAAGGCAGTGGTCTCTTGGGACCTGGGGGTCTGGGGAAGTGAGCCTGGCAGGCAGTCCAGACCTGTCAGCTCTGGGATCCCCACAGCCTGCAATGGCAAGGGAGGCCTGGGAGATGTCAAGTCGGACAGGCAGAAGTCTGGACAGCCTAGGACACGTCACCCTTCTCCAAGGCAGGTGAACACAGGCCCTGCACATCCTGGGGGCTGGACTGGCCTCTTCATCCTTGCAAGACATGGACAAGAGCACTGGACAAGGGTTGGAGCCAGAGGCTTCTGCCTGTCCTGTTGGGACAGCTGCAGATAAGCCTGGGCAGGCCAGGCCAGAGCCCCCGAGAAGGCCAGCCCTCATCAGCCCTGGAGCAGGTGGCTCTCCCTGCAAACCCCAGCTTGTTACCAGAGCCAGATCTGGTGGAGACTCCGGGCTCTCATAGAGGCAGGCCCCTCCAACCTCAGCCTCCCTCCTGTGGACCCCTCTTGGCCCGCCCAGAGGCACCACAGAGCAGACCCTCAGTCGAGCAGCCTGGTTGAGGGCTCCTGGGTGCTGCAGAGGATGCCCTTTCTTGGAGAGTCCCCCAGTTCAGGGGCCTCCTACCAGCCCCAGGGCCATGGAGAAAGCAGCTCTGGCAGGAGTCCAGCAGAGCTGGGGGTGCGTGCTTGTTGGAGGGTGGGGAGGGGGTAAAAAAAACAGCCAACACGAGCTGAGCTCAACACGAAGGGTCACTTGTCAGCAAAGCACCTCACAGCACCTGCTGTGCACACTGCCGACAGTGCTCCCAGCAGGAGTGGCTCGCTCCACAGACGTCTAGACACACAGCAACCCCACCCCATAGCAAAAACAGCACCAGCGACTGGGCACTGCCCAGCTGAAGGAAGAGGTGGGGATGGGGATGGGGATGCTGGGTTGCAGCCCCTGGCCCCAAGTGACCCTAAAAGCAGCACACAGTGCAGCTGAGGCACGGTACCTCACTGTTGAGCTTCCTGGCCACGGGCCACCCTGATAGCCCTTCATCAGTATGGCAAGGAGCCACTGGCACCTGCAGGAGCCCCACATCTCTGTGCTTTGGTTGCAGGAGTACCCTCCCACCTGGTGGCACCAGAGGGGCAGCTGGTGCTCCCGGGGTGTGGGGGGGAATAGCAGCAACAAGTCATGAACCCACCCCAAGTCCCAAGCCCAGAAGCCCTGTGTCCCTCATGGACTGCCGCTTGGGGGTCCAGAACTTCAGTAGATAGGATGCTGCCAGGGGAGCCTCAGTGCTTGGGGTGGAAAGCGCCCAGCAGTGTGGCAGAGTGCGGCCAGAGCTGTTGGGAGAAAGGGAAAGAGTGAGCTGGTGGAGGTCAGAGGTTCGGGCTCCCCTGGACTGCCTCCCACCGACTTCCTCCACTTTCTGGTGCCTTTGGCCAGGTCATATGCAGGGCTGGGACAGTCACCCGTGGTATTCTTTCTCTGAGCAACCATCAAGGGTCTTTCGGCTGCTGGAGAGGGCTGAAGGCAGTGGGGTGGAGGCCTGGGCCCACCTGGTCACAGCAGGACGAGGCTGGGGCTGCGCAGCTGCTTGTACACCTGCAGGAGCCTCTGCGCTGTGGCGCAGGAGCTGGCTTCATCCTCCGTGCACAGACGGTCACGCAGGGCCTGCACCTCCCGCAGCAGTGCCTAGGAGCAAGCAACATGGCTCAGGCCCTCTGCCTCTCCCTGGGACCCCTCCCTGGGAGGTGGTGGGTGGTCCAAGAACACAGCACAGCCAGGCAGGCGTGGCTAGGGGAACAGGTGGAGCCAGGCAGGCAGGAGAGAGGCGTGACCCCACCGCGCTGCCCTGCCCAGGGCCAAGCCCACACTTGAGGATGAGGCCAGCCCCACCAGGCTGGGCAGCTGCTGAGCATCTGTCTGCACAGGGGCCCTGCCAGGGTCACTCTTTGATGCCCAGGTTGGTGGGACAGCCCTGCACAGGTGCTCACCTCATGGTTAGCATGGATCTGGCGAAGATACTGCATGCGGAGGTCGGGTGGGCTGGAGCTCTGGGCAGCCTGCTCCCTGACCATTGCCTGGGGGAGACAGTGGGAGTGGGGATGTGGCAGGTGGTGCCCACTGTCTGTCCTGAGGAAGATGTCGGCACTAGCAGGCCCTCGTGACCATCAGGGAAGGGTGAGCCCTCCTCTGGCTGCCCCCAGGCCCTCCAGCACAGTCTCCTGCTCTGCTGACTCTGACCACCTGTGTGGGCTCTTCCCCGACTCTTCGTTTCCCACCTGCCGGGACTCTCCTCTCAGAGCAGCGGCACATGGGCCCCACCTGGTGATCAGTTACTGACAATAAATTTCTACTTGGTCCTTTCTCTCCACTCATCCCTAAAGAGCTTTGCTGTGCTCAGACCCAAAGTCCCCCTCTGCCGGCTCTGTCCTTGAACCAGACAGACTGGAGCCTGCCTCTGCTGCACCTCAGCCAGGGCCCAACTTGACCCAGCTGCCCTTTCACTCAGCAGGCTGAGGGGCTGGTCGCCAACTCCCGCTTTCTGAAGGAGCCCAGCTGGCTACAGGCCTGAGTGACCGAGACAGCGAGGCCCTGCTGCCCTCTCCAGGGGTGAGTGAGGCCCACGGTAGAGCCTCCACCTGAGAGCACCCCAGGCAGTGCTGGCCTGCAGTGGGAGCTGTCCCTCTGGGCGGAGTCCTGGGAGCTCTGACCTATGGATGTGGAGGTTGGCACACTGCCACCACAACACTGAAGTCCCATCCAGGGAAAGCATGTGGCGCCCCAGATTCACACGTGGAAGTCCTAACCCCAGTGCCTCTGAATGTGAGTTTTGAGATGGGGACCTTTCACATGACCAAGACAAACTCATCAGGGTGGCTCTAACCCCACATGACTGTCCTTGATGGGGAAGTTTGGATGTGGTGACAACGTTCTTAGGGGCCAGATAAACACTGGGAAGTGCCTTCTCTGACGGTGGCAGCACTGCCTGGAGGCCACTCTTCCTGGTCATGGTGTCTGGACTGACGCCAGCACGGAAGCAGAAGTGCCTGCACCATGGCCTGCTGCATGGGGTGGGCTTTGGGGTCATGGCCCAGCACTGGCCACTGGAGCCACATGCTGAGATCACCAGGGCTGACCTTCGGAGCTCTGATGGCAGCTAATGCCTCCTGCCTGGCTCCTAGTGCATCTGGGCACACTGTGGGTCCCAGCTGCCGTCAGGTAGCAGGTCGGGGTGACAGGTTCCCGAGAGGCCCACAGAGGCCAGAGTTGAGAACCCACTTCAGGACGGGCTTACTGAGGACACTGCAGTCTCTGCTGCAAGGACCAAGGCTGAACAGAGCTGGGACAGGTGGACAGGGGCCACAGGCTCTGGACTGAGGCCACCCTGCTCTGGGCACTGGTTAGACTCAATGGGAACATGGGAGCTTCTCAGACCTGGAAGCTGTTGGCGTGAGCAGCCTGGGCACAGCACCAGAGCATGTGCCTCTGCCCAGCAAACCCTTAAGACTGCTCGCTCTCCCTGGCACAGGCAGATGCCTTATCCTGGGACCCATGCCCACAGTGTGCCAGTCCACGCAGCCCTGCTTGAGCAGGGGAAGACAGGAAGCCTCAGGATGCCCTAGCAGCCATGCACGCATGGTGTAGGTGGGCTTTGGATTTGGGGTGACATGGGGCTGATGGCACAGCAAAGTGGCCTGTCTGCGAGGAAGCGCTCACTCACATATCTCTACAGCACTGCATCTGCCAGCAGAGGCAGTGGTGGTCACAGACCCCATGGCCTGCAGCCGTGTGGTACCTCAGCCAGTCTCCACAGCCCACCTGCAGTCCTCAGAGCCTCCCTCCCCAGCCCACACCAACCACTGTACCTGCATGCGCCCAACAATGGCGTGATGTGCTCTGCACATGTCTGCCAGGGAGGAGCTCTCCACTTGGATCTCCACAGCCTGGATGGGCCCTGCTGGGCACAGGTCAGTCACAGCCACCTGTAACACAGGCAGGTCTTGCTGGCAGCCCCTGTGCTGCCCTGGAGGGCTCAGGCTAACAGAGCCTCCCAAGCTGCCAGTAAGGGAGGTCCTGGGTGGCCCCAACTCCCTGCCTGGGCACCACTCTGCACCCTGAAGGTGGGTAGGGGTAGGGTCAGAAGGGCCCTGGCCTGGGGACAGCCAAGAACTGATAGCAAGATACTTGGTTGTCTGAGAAGAACACGTCCAGGAAGACCCTCAGGATCCAGACTGTGGAAACCACTTCACTGTGGAGCTGTGCCCAGGCCCTGTACATCTGGGCAATGCCCATGCTCTTGAAAGTCCACTGTAGAGCAGGCCACACTCCCACACCCACACTGGGTGCCACAGCCCACCTCTGACAGCAGGATCAGGTGTGGAGTCTTTGCCACCACCAAGTGCCCTTCAGGAACCGGCTCTCCAGACACAGATGTGGGGCAAGACCTGGAGCCTGGGTCACTGCAGGCTCCTCCACAGGGCTGCGAGCACCCCTCCACGGGACAGAGCTATTGCCTGACCCCAGCCTCAGGTTGCAGGGATGCTCTGACCTAGATGCCAGTCCAGCCTGGGTCTGAAGGGGCTGAGTAGTGGGCAGCAAGGAGGCAATGTCTGGGGGAATGGATCGATTTGATTCTAAGGGCACCCCAAACTACTCAGCAACAGCGTCTGACAGTGGCAAGTAGCACCAGAGGATCTGCTGGAAGTGAGTCCAGCAGGTGGGGGAGCAGGGTGTGAGAGAGAAGTGCTGGGCTTCCTCTGGTCTGGGGCTCAGCTTCTCCTAGGGGAATCAGGAGTCTGATTCCTCTTGAACTTCCCAGCAACACTGGTCCAGGGACCCCCTTCTGAGAGTCGCTGGCAGTCAGGCCGATTCCCCACGGACAGGTGAACTGACCCCCTGCTTGCCTCACGGATGATGAGGTGGATGTCAGTGCCATTGGGGGCCACCCCCTGGACGGAAGACAGTGCCCGGGCCTTCACGATGTCTACAGCAGCATTCTCAGCAAGCAGCCACTGCAAGGTGGCACTGCAAAGGGGGACACCTGGAGGGCAGAAGCACCATCAGGAGCTCAGGTGGGTCCTGCTAACACCTGGGTGGCTTCCTGCAATGTCCCCTTCTCAGTGCCATCTAAGTGTCCCAGTTTTCTGCAGCTCACCCCAAGCAGAGAGCCAGGATAGCTCCCCAAGAAGCAGCTTTCCAAGGGGTGGTGGCAAAGTAGTGCAGCTGACTGAGTCAGACCTCCACCGTGGAGGAAGCCTGCCAGTGCCCGGGTGTGGCCCTGAGAGCAGGCAGCTCTGCTGCAGGGATGCATCCAGTGAGGGTGGCTGCCACTCCCTCCCTGTGCAGGCCAGCCCCAGAGGCTGCCAGACACCCTCCAGCAGCAGAGCGGCAGCAGTGACACAGGGCACCATCCTGATAGAAGATCCAGCACCACACAGTGAAGGGTTCACCCACCCGGTGGCAATGCAAGGCAGACGCAGGGCCCAGACACAGTTCTGCCAAGCTGGGCCATGGGCTTGGGGGCTGGTCCGGCTGGCCCCTGGGTGCTTGCCATGCAAAATTTCCCTGGTGATGCCTTCGACTGTCTGTTCAGGCCGGGCTTCCACATGCAGGGTTCAAGAAGCCCAGTTTAACAGAGAAATGCGGCGGCAGCGCAGGCGGAAGAGGCCAGCTATGGGGTGCAGCTTGGGGGGGACGGGGAGAGGCCCTGAGGCCAAGGTGAAGCCAGTTGGTTCCACCAACCTGAGTGAGCATCCTCCAGGGCAGTCCTGAGCAGCTCAGCTGACACCTTGATGGAGGCCACCGATGGGGGCAAGTACTTGGCCCGCAGGGAGGCAGGGCCAGTCGGCTCACTGCTAGGCCCACAGCAGGCTTCCAGGAAAGTGTCCACAGGGTTGCGGGCCGGGCTGAGCAGGCAGGGCGCCTGTGTGTGGGGTGAGGCCAGGCCAGGAAAGCGCAGGCACCGCAGCATGTCCACTGTAAGCCTGCTCAGAGGCAGGCAGATGCCCTCCTGCTCAGGAAGGAGGTCGAGGGCATGCTCCTCCAGAAAGGGGTCCTCCAGGGGGTCTGAGGGGGCCAAGGCCCCGCCCACCACCTCCCTGAGGCTGTAGAAGAGTGCGCAGGACACGGTCACAGGTAGGTCAAGCACACCGCTCTCAGTCGGGCCCAGGGGCAGTGTCACCTCCCGCTGACTGCCAGGGCCAAGCCTGTCTACAGGGATGGTGTAGGTGACAGCTGAGCCAGCTGCGTCCAGGTCAAGGGCAGAGGAACTGGTGAGCACCTGAATGCACAAGGTCCAGCCCCGGTCCAGGCTGAAGTCACCGCTGTTCTGTAGCAGGCAGGTAGCTGTCAGCACATCCTGCAGGGGCAGGTGGCTCCAGGAGGTGGTGGTGGTACAGGAGATAGGCCGGGGGCCCTCCCGGCTGGACAGCAGGGCACAGCTCACGTTCATGGCCTCATTGAGGCTCGTCAGGGCCTTGTTCCGTTGATCAACTGCCTTCTTCAGAAAGGACACTCTGCGAAGGGCAGATATGGTGCTCAGGGAAGGGAGGAGACCGCAGGGAGCCCAGCCCCTGGACTTCCGAGGGGGAGGGACCGGAACCTGCTTCCACAGCTAGCAGAGCGAGGCTGTGAGCCAAGCCTCAGGGGTGAGGCCTGGAGAGCATCTCGCCTCGTCCCGCCCACACCAGGACCCCTTGGAAGCTGCCCCCCCCTCCTCTCGGCCACAGAAGGCAAGGCACATGATGGAGCACGTCAGGGGCTGGGCAGTGCTCTGTGGGGCTGGGCCAGCCCCTGGTTCAAAGAAGTTTCCACCCACATCAGACACTCAGGGTCACGACTACAGATGGGGTTTACCTGGCACTGTCCTCAGCTGCCCCAGAAATGTTCCTAATCAGCCTGTCTCCTTTCCAGGGCTCCACAGTGACAAGGGCAGGGAGGAATGGAGGGCACAGGGACCTGGAGCCTATGGGGTATGCTCTAGGACCAGAGGAGCCAGGGGAAGACAAGAGGAGCCCCATGGACCTGGAGTGCACTCTCCTACATCCCTGGGCCAGCAGGAAGGCAGAGTCCTCTGAGCAGGGGAGTCTGTGGGCTAAGGAAGTGGTGGGGTCTCCTGTGCCCCCTAGCGGGGAAAAGGAGCGGGGTCCTACCTGAGAAGAAGGGTCTCTCTTCTGGGATCCACACAGACCACAGCAGTCAAGGACATTCTGCTCAGGGTGCAACGCCAGCTCCACTGAGCCGGAGACCACTGCTCACCTCTCAGACACGTCGCCGATGCCGGAGAGCAGTTCCTTGATTTTCCGGTCTGCACTTGCTGAAGTCATTCTGGTGGGACCAGGACTCTTGGGTCTTAGGCTGCAGCTCATCAGGCGCCCTTTGGCAGACAGAGCCAGGAGCTCAGTCTCACCTGACAATGGACACAAATAGGGCTGCTCAGTGGTTGGCAGCTGCGAGGACATTCAGAAGTGTTTGTCCCAGGTGCCAAGACAAGCACTGGCAGAGCGCCAAGGCACTGTCCCAAGGAGGGAGACGCTGCCCAGGGGTCTTTGACACATTTGACAGGCCTCCCTGAGATGGGCTATCAGCCCAACACAGAGGTGGCACCGTGGCAGCATCTGGTTCTGTTAGATGTGAATAGAAAAAAAAAAAAGAGGGCTACAGGAGGACACTGTGTGCGGCCATGTCTTCTGGGCACAGTCTGCCCTCAACAGGCCACAAAGAGCAAGGCTGTTCTGAGCTTCTCAAATACAAGTGCTCCATGGAGGCCAGGTCCCCCTCCTCTCCATCCTCATGGGGCTTCCAGACAGCCAGGGCCACCACAGGAGACAAAGTCTGCCTCTGCTGAGGCTGGCCTGCCCCAACACAGCTCTGGCCAACACTGGGCACACACAGCTAAAACACTCCCTAGCTCAAGAGCCCTGCCTTCGCTGGAGCAGCCCATAAGCACATGCAGGCTTGAAAGTGTGTCCCTGCCCTCAGAAGACGCATGCAGGCATGACCTGCTCTGAGACCCGCCACAGGTGCTCTTGCACTGCCACATGCTCTGAGCAGCCACTCTAGTGAGGGATGATAGTCCATCCAGGCAGAGCAGTGGCCTGCTCAAGTCCCGGAAGGAGACACACATGCTGCTCCTTGGCCCTGTGCCAGCAGGCTGTGGCCGATGAGAAAACAGAAGAGGACAGGCCAACCCGTAGGGAGAGTGCCAAGAGGGAGCCCCTGACAGCTTTGGCTCTCCACATTTGAACAGCCACTCATACCTGCAGGTGCCCTGGGTGACACAGAGACAGTGAGGACACTGCAGACACTCAAGCTGGTTGGGCACAGTGTGGGCGGCAGGCTTCCAGGGGCTCTGTTGGGCTGCTGAGGGTCCAAGGGGACGCTTCCTTGAGCCAAATCCACCACGCGGAGGTCCGAGGGGGTACTGTGGTATATGCGGCCACCCGTACCACAGGCAGCACAGAGCACTGGCCCCGGGAGGAAGTACTCTTGAAGCTCTGGCACCAGATTCCCTGACTTGTCAAAGCTGGCCTTAATGGCCAGCGTCCTGCCATGGTGACCAAGGGCTACGAGGCAGTCAGAGTGGACCTCCATACTGGACAGCTCACTCTCCACAGCCTCCTCAGTCTGTGGCTCTGTCTTCAAGGCCCCAATGAAGACAACAGGCTCCTCCAGGTGATGGAGGATCCTGACAAGGGCCTTGGGGTCACCAGGGGCTGACCTAGAGGTGACCAAGGCCCTCAGGGCCACACAGCAGAGCTGGCCATCAGGAAGACCACAGAGGATCACAGGCGACTCCAAGAGGGTGGCATCAGCTCCAAAGAGTAGCCCAAAGAGGGCCTCCTCTAGTGTGAAGCCTCCACAGGCCTGGGGGTGACCATGTGGTGCTCCGGAGCCTGGCAGTGACAAACAGCACAGCACTGGCAGGAAGTGGGGGGCTGTGGGCTTTCCTGGGATACCAATTTCGGGGGTATAGGTGGACAACTCCACCTCACCGATCTGGCCCCCTGGCTGGGGGTCTTCCCCTAAACAGGGGTGCTCAAACAGCTGCATCTTCCACTGGGTGGGGCCCTGCGCCAGGGCAACAAGCATGTCGTCCAGCACAGTGAACGCACAGAGTGTGGCATCGGGGAGGACGCAGGCATCCGGGTCCACGGGCATCACAGGGTAAGGGAGTTCATCCTCTTCACTGTCCTTGTTGGCCTGGCTCACAGACCTTCCAGGAACAATGGGACCAGTCAGGATGGACGGGGCAGACTGTTCACGAAAACCCGCCTGGGAACAGGCTGGGCAGGGGTCTTCACAGGGAGGGCCGAAGGGTCTCCACAGTGACCATCAGCCCTTCAACAGGCCATTGGCCACACAACCTCCCAACTCCCACGGACGGCTCAGGACACATTTGACAGTTCAGATGGCTGCACAAGCTGCCTTTCCACCTCACACAGCAGCAGCCAGCACACCTGCTTCTAAGGGTCCCGGCCAGAGCCACCAGACCAACAGCAGGCCTGCTGGCGGGCTGGGGAGGTGTCTCCTGGACCCACTAGCTAAGGACTCCCTGCCAGCAGGAGCTCCTGGAGAACACGGCAGCACAGGTGCTGGGTGTGAGGGGCTGCAAGTGTGGCAAAAACCCGCCGAGATTTCACGCCCCGCACAGCCCTCCGTCTCCAGCGCAGCGATGGTGGGCCGTCCCTCTGGACCCATCCAGGAGTAAAGTCCGTGCAGTCACAGGGGAATGTGTGAACAAGTAGATGCCGTGCAGGCCACAGTGGCCCCACGGCGGACAAGGACGCACGGGGCCACGCCCACCCCTCACCTGCTGGGGGTGTCCAGCGACAGGCAGTAGATGCCCCTCCGGGCGCACAGGACGTAGAGCGCCCTGCGAGGGGCCAGCAGCTGCAGGTGCCACACCTGGTCCGGGAACCGGTACACCGCCTGGACGCCAGGGGAGTGTGGTCAGGCCAGGCGCACGCCTGGCGGGGTCTCGCTGCTGAGCGGACCCGAGCCCCGCCCGCCGCCCGTCCGCCCGCCCGCGGCCCGGCGCTCACGGTCAGCAGCCCGCCCTCCTGGTCGTACACGTAGACGAACTCGCTCCCGGTGGACAGGAAGACGTCCGCCTCGTGGCACAGCACGCGGGGTTTTCCCGCCGCCAGGCCGCCCAGCGGGCAGCTGAAGCCCGCCAGGTAGTGGACGCGGGGCGTACCGCCAGCCATTGTTCGAGCGGGCGGACGGCCAGCGCGGAGCCCGGCGGGGGCGGTGCCGCCTGGGGGCGCTTTACGGCCGCCCACGGCGTGGCGCGGCCTCCGCCGTAAAGCGGCATTGCGGGGGCGGGGCCGGCCCGGAGGCGGGCCTGCTGCGGGGGCGGGGCCGGGCTGCGCGCTGCGGGGAGCTCCTGGAGAGCTGGGGCCGTTCCGATGCGCCGCGCCGCGGAGGAGTGGCCGCTGCCCGCTCTCCCGCGCGCAGTGTCAACGGGCTTTGGAATCTCTAGGACTTGGGAGGCAACGAGGAGTCCAGCTGGGGCTGGGTCTCTTCCCTCTGCTCATTGAGCAGCACCACGCAGGACCCCGTTCTCAGGACTCTAGGGGCTTTGAGTCAGACAAGCGCAACGCTTGAACACGTGGGGACGTAGGGAAGCCAAAGGGATTTCTGAGTTAGGGTCAGAGCACCGCAAAGGAAATGACCAGCTGAGATTGGGGGAGGAAGCAAGGGGGAGGCCAGGGGACATCTTCACTTTCCCTCCTGGCAGTTCTCTCCACTTGCTCCAGAAGCTGCAACCAGGGGCCAAGAGAGCAGCTCTACACGAATCCCCCAAGTGAAAGACCAGGATCCTCCACCTTCCATAAAGCCCACCTGAAGCCAGGCAGAGACTGGGCTTCCCCCTACTCAGGAGGCTGAGGCAGGATCACTTGAACCCAGGAGTTTGGGGGCCAGACTTAGCAGCACAGCAAGACCATAGCTCTTATTAAATAATAATAGTAGTAGTAGTTATTATTATTTCATCAGAAAAGTCTCAAGGCCAGACACTCGGAAGTCAAGGAGCCATCTGGGGCACAGCAGGCCTGACATGTAAAAGGTCCAGCTGGAGAATGTCCAGAATGTGTGCCAGGCTGGAATATGACCCAGTCCCGGTGTACCGGCCAACATGACCAGTGGCCAGTCCAGACCCCCCAGTGAGTAGGGGGTGGGCTAGCTCCGAGTGTATCTGTGCCAGGTGCTAACCAGGTGAGGGGTCTCAGCTCACTCTGCACTCCTGGGCTAGTCTGATGGCGTTTTGCCTGGAAATGCTTCCCTTGTTGAGGGGAAGGATGGGGGTGGGCTAGAGAGCACTCCTCAGCAGCCTGTCACTCTGAATTTCCCCCAGAGCACACAAGTATCCCTTGGGGGTCTTCTCATCACCAATTCTAACCTTCCAAGCCTGACCCTGGTTCTTGTCAGTCACCAGCTCACACACGCCTCAGGATAACCAGGTGGCTTCCAAAATAGGAGAAAACATGCCGATAGAGAAGGTGACCATGTGGGGAGGAAGTGGATATGGGAGGTGGGCGAGCCAGCAGGCCTCATGGTATGTCACTCCTCTGGCTTGGGGGCTGGCCAGCTCTTGGCTCCCTCCAGTCTAAACAGAGTAGACCTGAGCACTGGGTGCCTGGGGTGAGAAAGGCATGAGGGAAGGGCCCAAGGCCATGCCCTAGCCGGGGCTCTGCCAGGGGAGTGGAAAGTGCACACACCCCTTACTGCAGAGCCTGTCACTGGAGGTCAGTGACTCTGCCAAACTGGGGCACTGTGGCCTCACAAAGGACAAGCATAGTGGAGCTCAAGAATTACAGGGGCGGATGTGGGAAGAAAAACCATGGTGTGTGGAAGCTGTAGATTACAGCAGAGGTGCAAAAACCTGCAGGGTGGGGACCGGGACTTTGGGTGCCAGAGTCCCCAGTTCTGCTTGCAAGCAGTTCAGTCTCACTTCTTTAGGTGAGGATAGGGAGGAAGGCGCCTCCCAGAGCCTCCTGGCCTGCAGCACCTGGAGGACAAAGGCATCTGGACTTCCAGTCCCTCTTACTCGGGCTTTCATAGGCCCTGTGTGAAGGCCAGCTGCTGGGTCATACTGAACAGCCCAAGCCCTACGAGGGCTGAGCATGGCAGCTCCAGCAACACCAGGGAGCTGTGGATGATGAGCACTCAGCACCACTCAGCTGCTCAAAGGCAGCTGGGTCACCTACTGGGAGGAGCCCTTTCAGACACAGCTACTTTTTTTAAAATATTTTTTAATGTCGATGGACCTTTATTCATTTATTTTTATGTGATGCTGAGAATCAAACCCAGTGCCTCACACATGTGAGGCAAGCACTCTACCACTGAGCCACAACCCCAGCCCCTACAGCTGCTATTTTTTAGTGGCTTCCCAGGGTGCAGATGAGTCCCTGCCTTGAGGACTGAGTGGTGCTGAGCTGTGGAAGCAGGCTGACACCGAAGTCAGAGGAGCAGGCCAGACCTCTCTGGCTGTCCCTGGGAGACAGCAGTAAGCTCCAGCCCTGCTCCTCACTGCACCTGGGCAGTTAGGTTGCCTGGACACTTTCACCTGCTGCTTGGCCTCATCTGCCTGTCCAGGACATACAGACTCAAGGCAGAAAAGGCATCTCAGGTAGGCTGGACAGCTCCCTTCCACCCACATACGAACAGTGCCCAGGAGCCCTGCAGCGGAGCAATGGGCCAGGCAAATTGGGTCCCAGCTTGAAATGGCCCAAACACATCAATGAGAACAATGAGTCTTGGGGGCAAGTCATCTAATCACCTTACCCAGATTAGACACCAGACAGGGCCTGTGGACAACTGTTCAGCGCACAGGAAGGACACGCTGGGAGCGGGCAGTCGCTTCAGGCGCTTTTTATTAGGTTCCACTGCAGGGCTGGGGTCAGGGTAATGCTAGTCCAAACCCAGGTGATGCACACCTGTGAGCCCAAAGCAGAGCACCTATGTCCCAGGAACAGACTGGCTGGGGGTGGGCTGGGTAGGCAGGACCGACCAGGGCCAAGAGGGGACCGAGGCACCCACTGTGTTCGCCTGGGAAGGTGTGTGCTCAGGCACCCCTCTGGAATGTGGTGCCTGTTGACATGAGGGGATGTCCACAGGAATGCAAGATGGGCAGGGGTCACTCCTGAGCAGGAGGTGGTGCCTGGGCCTCCCAGGCCTGTGCTCTCAGCAGGGCTCACCCCAAGCCAGCAGCATGAGCTTGACTCTCTTTGGACGATAAAATAAAGTGCATTATTGAACAGAGTAACTCAAAACCATAAGCAGCGATATCACAACACTTTCTTTAGCTAAAAGACAAAAAGAAAACATGGATTGCATGGATGCCAGAACTGCAGAGTGAGAAAAACTATTGGTTGAGAAATGGAAATTAGCTTGGTGGATAAAGACGAGAGAGCAAGTGGAGAGGAACACAGGTGTTGGGGCAGTGAGTCTCCACAAGTCTGTGCTGTCCAGTACCTGCCCAGGCTGGGCAACAGCACTGGTGTGAATGGCCCTGGAGACAGGTAAGCAGCCAGCCAGGCCATTTGGCTCACAGCTGACCTCAGGGACCAGGTAAGACAGGGAAGGCAAAGCCCCAGCCAAGACAGCTCCTAGCAGGCAGACCAGATGACCCTCCACACCTCCATAATGTGTGGCAGATGGGGGGAGACTGCTTGCTTTACAGTCCTGCTGTAGCCAGGTCAACCTAATGGGCTTGTGGCTCCAGGATCAGAAGAAACCTGGGCCTTCCAGCGGGGATGCCATGCCAGGTACACCTGAGGGTTCTGGCCACAGCCCTGCCATGAGAGAGCCCAGCAGGCAAGCATTCTGTCTACATGGCCAAGGATGGGGAGGGCTGTGGGTGCATCTCTCTAGGCGACAGACACACAAGCCTCCAGGAAGTCTGGCTGGGCCGGCCTTTCCCTAGGTGCAGCACAGCTAATTTGGCTCTTGTTAAGGCAAAGAGGCATCAAGACGCCCTCGGCTCGCCTGGGGTAGGCCTGTGCCCCAGTCCTATTGTGGAGGACACTTAGAGACCATTAGGACTCTTATGGATTGCCTGGTCCTCACACTGTGTGCATGCTATCAACTTTCCAGGCTCCACAGAGGTCCTGTTTCAATGGCCAAAGCACTATTCCAGACCAAGGCCTGGCAAGGCTATGGGTAGAGGAATGGTGCTGTGGGAGGAAATCGGGGCCCTGGTGTTCACCCATCCAGGCTATCTAGAGGGACTGCCCACCAGGCAAGGGCCACCACTCTGCTCCTGCTCAGCTGCCCATATCGCCAGCTGCCACAGCTGTGTGACTTGGTAGAAATGTCTCAGGCACTGAGGTTTGCTTCATAGGAGGACTGACAGTGGGACCCGTCCACTACCACCTGAACTCCCAGGAGGGGCTGCGCTTAAGGAGGGGAAGAAGTGGAAACTAGTCTCTCTCATATCCCTGTTGTGCAGTTTTATCTTAAAAACAATAAATAAAAGTCTTCTGGGAAGGAACTGCTGAAAACTGTTATTGCAACCAGCACAGACTCTAAACTTCCGCCTGGTACAAGATGAGAAAGCGCACTAGCCTGCAAGCTGAGCAGGAGGCTGTGGCCGGCACAGGCAGGACCTCTGCTCCAGAGCAACAGAACAGAGGTAGCCAGGCACTCCCCCCACCAAAAAAAAAAAAAAAAAAAAAAAAAAAAATCAAGCGGGGGACAGAACAGAAAGCATCGAAGAGGAAGGAAAAGAAAGCAACCCTCCCTGCACCACCAATTTCAAGTGATTATTTGGAGGTGCCCAATCCTTCCACGGCGGGGGGCTGTTGACTGGGTGAGGCGTGCGTGGTGTTCTCAGGCAGGGACACTGTTTCCAGTCGGCTTTTACTCAGCCCCAGCACATTAGCTGAGCTCCCTCTCTGGGATTGGTGCCAAGAAGCTTCCCTGGGTGCCAGGGTGGCGGGCCCCACCCCTCAGGGCTGCCAGCTCTGAGCCTTGCGGGGCACACCTTGAGCTCCTGGCTTTGGAGGGCTGGGCTGGCCCAGTCCCACCCAGCAGAGGGCCGGAGCCCTAGGTCCTGGGGAGGCTGCACATCTCGCAGTGGCCAGTTCCTGGCTGGTTCATGAAGGTGCAGTGCTGACAGGCCCACATGGCAGAGGTGGCGGCATGTGCAGAACCTCCGACGGCACCATACTCATGGAGGCCCGGGAGCTGCACACCAACGGTGCCTGTAGGTGGGAAGAGAAGCAAGCACTCAGCACTTCTGCAGAACGGG